TAAATTCTCTTAATTAAACTCAGTGTAAAAGGACTTTAATTTACACTCCAAGTAATCTTAGTCATAAGAAAATTCTAATGTAAAATGAAGGAATTTTTCTTTTTATCAATTATTCATACACATAATTTAAAGAGCTAAATTGTTCTACAAGATTATAAAAACTTTATTATGAAAAACAGTACCTGTAGAGAATATATATTATTTACTTTCATTTTTCTAAAAATACATGGTGTCGCCCTGGCTGGTGCTGTTCACTGGTTAGAGCATCAGCCTGCACACCAAAGGGTTATGGGTTCAATTCTTAGCCAAGGGCATGTACCTGGGTTCCAGGTTCTATCCCTGGCCCTGATCAGGGCAGGTGTGGGAGGCAACCAATTGATGTGTCTGTCTCACATCTAAGTTTCTCTCTCTCCCCTCCCTCCGTCCCTTCCTTCCACTATCTCTAGAAATCCATGTAAAAAATATCCTTGGGTGAGGATTAAAAATAAATAAATAAATAAATAAATAAATAAATAAATAAATAATAAATAACATGGTGTTGATACTACTTTCGTTTTTTCAATATTAGGCATCATCTAGTGACATCTTAATGGTTCTCTTTCCTCTCCTCATCCCATCGTACATACACTTGTTTCTTATTTCTTATCCTTCCACTATAGTTAAAGCATAATTGTAGTTAGATTATTGTTCAGTGTTCACATTAATAGAACTTTGTAAATGCCATTGAAAAAGACTATGGCCCTGGCCTATGTGGCTTAGTTGGTTGAGCATCATCCCATGCACCCAAAGGTTGCCTGTTTGATTCCCGGTCAGGGTTCTACCCAGTTTGTGGTTTCGATCCTGGCTGGGGTGCGTGCCAATTAATATTTCTCTCTTATTTCAATGTTTTTCTCCCTCTCTAAAAAAAAGAAAGAAAACATATTTAAAAAAAAGTTTGATTTCTATGTCTTTACTACTAATCTTTACATTTTCTCTGCAGTTAATAATTGGCTCAGTTATCTTCATTTTATTATTTTTTTTAATCTTTATTGTTGAATGTATTACAGATGTTCCTCATTTTCCCCCCATTGACCCTCTCCTCCCTCCTCCCGCCCCCCTCCAGCCTTTTCCCACACTGTTGTCTCTGTCCATTGATTATGCATATAAGTTCTTTGGTTTATTTCTTCCCACCCCCCTAACCCCTTTCCCTTTGAGGTTTATCAGTCTAGCAGTGACTTTGTACTTCTTAATCCCTTCACCTTTTTCACTCATTCCCCCAATGCCCCTCCCATTTGGCAACCAATAAAATGTTCTCTGTATGAGGATGTTTCTGTTCTGCCTGTTCATTTTGTTTGTAGATGCCATTGTTGATAGATATGTATTCATTGCCATTTTGTTTGTTCATACATTTTATCTTTTTCTTCAAAGAGACCCTTCATCATTTCATATAATAATGGTTTGGTAGTGATGAACTCCTTTAACTTTTTCTTGTCTGGGAAAGTCTTTATATGGCCATCAATTCTAAATGACAGCTTTGCAGGATAGAGTAATCTTGGTTGTAGGTTCTTGCTTTTCATCACTCTGAATATTTCTTGCCACTCCCTTCTGGCCTGCAAAGTTTCTTTTGAGAAATTAGCTGACAGCCTTATGGGAACTCCCTTGTAGGTAACTAGCTGCTTTTCTCTTGCTGCTTTTAAGATTCTCTCTTTGTCTTGAACCTTTTGCCTCTTGATGATGATGTGTCTTGTTGTGGGCCTCCTGGGGTTCATCTTGTTTGGGACTCTCTGTGCTTCCTGGACATGTATGTCTGTTTCCTTCACCAAGTTAGGAAAGTTTTCTGCCATTATTGTTTCAAACAGGTTTTCGATTTCTTGTTCTCTCTCTTCTCTTTCTGGCACCTCCAAGATGCAAATGTCGGCATGCTTGAAGTTGTCCCAGAGGCTCCTTACACTATCCTCGTTTTTTTGGATTCTTTTTTCGTTTTGCTATTCTGATTGGGCATTTTTTGCTTCCTTATATTCCAAATCAATGGTTTGCATCTTGGATTTACTCACTCTACTATTGAATCTGTGTAAATTATTCTTTATTTCAGTTAATGCCTCCTTCATTTCTGACTGTGCATCCATCATTTCTGACTGGTCCTTTTTTATGCTCTTGAGGCCCTCACTAAGTTCATTGAGCATCCTTATAAGCAGTGTTTTGAACTCAGCATCTGTTAGGTTGCTTATCTCTGTTTCGCTTAGTTCTTTTCTTGGGGTTTTGTTCTGTTCTTTCATTTGGGACCTGTTTCTTTGTCTCCTCATTTTGGCTGCCTCTCTGTGTTTGTTCTGTGTATTACTTAACGAGAAGTATTGGGCTATCTGAGATGAGATACTGCTTGTTTGAAAGAATTTAGGAAAACCTGAAGCAGGATCCAAGACAGGCCAATCGTATGGTTAAGCAACTGGCAACAGCTTGGGTGGGCCTGAAAGTTCGGTGGGGCGGGGCCTCAGGGAATCACAAGGGGGGGGCTACCAGCGTGAACCAGGTTGCTGGAGTCCCAGATATGGCGACTGTCTGCTGCCCCAGGGAAGGGCTCACCAAAAGAACAAAGGCCTCTGACAGCACATTTGTCCTGGAGAAAGCCCCCTCTCCAGCCCTCGCTCCAGTGCCAAACAGCTCAGTTCTTCCTTGTATGTCTCTGGTGCCCCTCATGCTGCCTCCGCTCCAAGCTTAGAGGGAGTGAGTCTGATTAAGTTCGTGCGGGCCCTGTAAGGAGTTGCCTGGGGCTCCAGCGGCTTCAGCCTCCCTGAGCCTCAGTTCCCGCTGGTTTTTCCAGCCAGAGGTTATGGGGATTCTCTTCCTGGCACTGGAACCCTGAACGGGGCATCTGGTGTGGGACGGGGACCCCTCAGTCCTCAGGGAGGACCTTTCCAGCCAAGGTGTCCTTATTTTTATCCACCACACGTGGGTGTGGGACCAGCCCGTCTGCCTCCGCCCCTCCTACCAATCTCCATGTGGCTGCTGCTTTAATTCCGTAGTTGTAGGACTTCCATTCAGCTGGATTTCAGGCGGTTTTGATGATGATTGTTCTGTAGATTAGCTGTAACTTTGATGTGGTTGTGGGAGGACGTGATAGCGCGTTTACCTACGCCGCCATCTTGACCGGAAGTCTCATTTTAATTTTTAATATATTTATCATTAATTCAAATTCATACCTTGAACTTTGTGCCAATTGTCTGAATCTCCACATAACAGTTTTATTCCCCAACCCCCCACCAATTCTTTGTGGTTCTGCTGTACTCTCTGGGAGATTTTCTCAACTGTATCTTCCATCTATTATTTTTTTGAATCTGCTTTTATAGTTTTGATTCCCAAGAGTTCTTGCTTGTCTCATGTTTGCATTGTTATCACCCTATGATGATATTAATGATTGTTTAACATGTTTTCTTCTTGTTGCATAGCCTCTGTTTCCTACAAAGTGTTGCTTTTTTTTCTTCTTTATGTTCCATGTTAAAGCCTTTCCTCAGGTGTCCAGTAATCTTGATTGTCTGCTTATATTTAAGGATACAGGACTGAAACACTGATAGGAAGATCTGAGCATGAGGGTAATTATTCAGTGTGAGCTTCACAGTAGGATAACTTGGCTAGGATATTTTGCTGGTGAGCTACCAGAGTGTCCACTAAAAAAATCAAATTTCCCACTACTAAGAAATTATACTTCAGTATTTTGCTCCTAGAAAAAAATAGATTCTAAAAACAAAGCATAGTTACTGGGCATATCTTAAAAATACATATGAAGAAAGAATCTTTCCATTTCAACTTCTTTCCCTTATTCAATTCCCAGTGAATTCAATTTAGCAAATGGAATTTCTCATTAAATCTAGATGTTATGCACTATTATTTTTGAGATTCAGAAACTCTTTTTTCTGTTACACAGTTCCAGTTTCTGATAATAAAATTGTTCCTAGTCATATAACGGCATTAATGTGTAACTATTTGGGGATAGAAAGACAGAGTACCAAGGGTTATGGCTGCTTAGTCAACTGAGCAAATTGAAAATCACTGACTTGAAGGATCTGTCTGTTTTTAATTTATTAGAACTTGGCACTCAGCTGTAACTCAATAGGCACAGCACACATAACTGCCTATGCAGCACCCTCTCAGACAACATCATTGCTTGCCTTACCTTATCTTTACCTTTTCAACACTAAAAATATGGACTGTAACTTTGTCCTTTCTCACCTCTGTCACTTTTATTATGTTCCTGATTGTTATGAAAAGTATTATATTTATAATTGATTATAAGAACCCCTAAATCTGGATCTTGACCATATATCGTTTCACTAAACTGAGTCATCAAAAAATTCTCATAAGTTATTTAGAATAGCAACCTCAAAGAGAACTAAATCTTCACTAGAAATTGAAATAAAATATTAAATATAAACAAAGCATCAACTTAATTATTCCCTAAAAGTGAGAAAATACACTTTCACAATGAGTGTAGGTAAGAGCCACTGGTCTGGAAGCATAGCAGAATTAACTAGCTGGAGTATTCCCTCTCCTTCAAACAATCATAACCTTGACATTATTTAACCTCTAACATGCTTCACTTTCACCTTCTCATCTCTCTGCTTGTACTCCAGGCCCAAGTGTTTAATATACAGGAAAAGGGTCATGACACACATAAGCACATCAGAGGGATTACTTTTAAACCCATGCTCCCTCCCCCCCCCAAATGTCCACAGTTAAATCTGGATGTTCTTAGGTACTTTCACTGTAATGGTCAATGATTTAAGTAATGTTTCTGTATATTATTCCTATTTGTGTCTTGTTTCTATAGCTATAGTTCCAATAGCATCTCAGCTAAGAAGCCTGAGTTAGTATTTTTAGGTGCAATGAAACTTGGCCTTAAGTTTCTCAAGTTGATCTTCAAAGGAGCCAGAGCATCTGGAAGATCATCAATGTCTTCAGCTTCAAACTCCTAAAAGTTATCAACCTCATCACCAAATGGCATTTAATAGGCACTGCTATGTCACTGACCCTACAGCTTCTGGAACAGGAGCAAAAGAAATAGGAGTGGATATATGGCAACCTGTCCAGCAAAGCTGCTGCTGTATAAACATGATTTAACACAGGCCCCAAAAAAGAGAGAAATCCCTGGATTGGTAAGGTACATGTTTTTTCACTTTATACTGATGGTAACAACTGGCTTTTCTGGCTCTGAAAAGAAAAAAAAAACTGGTAAAAACTTGTCAAATGCTATCATTTATTGTGCATGCCCCTTGTAGAATGTGTTTGTGCAGGAGAATTTGCCCTTTCCATATGGTTTAAGTTATTGGTAAAGTAAAACTAAACAAGTGCATTTTGAAAGCATGGTGCGAATGCCTTCTATTTTGGTTATTTATGGCTGTCCACAGCTATCAATGTTTTTATTTAAAAATTATTAGAGCAATTATAGGGCAGGAGGTGGGTGCTGAGCTTGAAAATATGACCCAGAATGATTCATATGGTGAAGACTATATACAAAAGTAGCTTCCCTAACAAAAAGAGTTATTCTTAGCACTTTATTTTATTCAAGAATGTTGATCAAGTTTTGCCCCTGGAGAAATTCCCTATCTCTCTTTTTCCTATTACTTTGATGTTTTCTTATTTTTGAAAATGGAATTAGACAAGAAAATGAAATAAAAGATACAAATATTGTAAGAGAGGAGACACTATTTCCAAGAGTTGTGGCTATTAATCAAGAAGGTCCAGTAAAAGCAAACTAAAATAATGGGAAACAATTAGAATTCAATAAACATACCAAAAGTAAACCAAGAAACCATTAACTTTCCTATACAAACCAAAGTGTTGGTTTGAAATTATACAGAAAGGAAAGATGCAATTTATAATAGAATCAACAATAAAAAATGTAGGAATAAACTCATAAAAACAAAATTTTGTTTTATATGGAAAATTATAAAAGGTTATAAAACTGAGCAGTGGTTAGAACCATTGGCCCTCTAACCAAAGGGTCTCGGGTTTCATTCCCAGTCAAGAGCACATACCTGGGTTGCAGATTTGATCCCCTGCCCTGATTAGGGTCATGTGAGAGGCAACCATTAGGTGTGTCTCTCTCTTGTTGATTGGGTGTTTCAACAAAACAAAAAAAATTTAAAATCTACTGAGATGTCAATATTTAGGAAAACATTTCTTTTTTCTTTTTCTTTGCATTTATTTTATGGAAAGATATTACTGTAATGGTATCAATTATCTTTAATGTAATTTATTAATTTATTCTGATCTCAATTAGAAAACTGATTTTGTGAAATGTGAAAAATAATTTAAAAATTTTGAGGCAGATGATTGGACACATCAAATTATTGAGGAAAAAAATCTGAAATAAAAGAACAACAAACAAACATTTTTAATAAAGTTAAAGTAATTAAAATACAATGATACTCCTCAGTGGGTAGTTTAGTTGGTTGGAGCGTAGTCCTATATACCAAGAAGTTTCAAATTTTACTTCTAGTCAGGACATATACCTAGGTTGTGGGTTCAATCCCCAGTCAGGGAGCATATGGATGCAAAAGATGATGTTTCTCTCTCACATTGATCTCTCTCTCTCCTCCTCCTCCTCCTCTCACCCACTTCCTTTCTCTCTAAAAATCAATAAAAACATACCCTCAGGTGACGAATAAAAAAATACTATGATACTAAAACAGGAAAAAAATAATCAAGGAACAGATCAGAAAAATCAAAAAATGAATGTAAGTACATTTGAGAATTTAGTATCATCTGTGGAGGAAAGACTTAATTAGTCAATAAATAAATAGTGTTGGGACAACTGGCTAGCCATTTGGAAAATAATTAAGCTAGATTTCTACCTCACTCATTACCCTAAAATAAATTCCAGATGGATCCAAGAAAATTTAAACAAAAACCATAAAAGTAGTTTTAAAAAAACTCAGATGACTGTTTTTAATAAAATTAGAATATGAAAGGATTTTTAAAAGTGACACAAGACTCAATTCAAAAGGAAAAGTGACCATTTTTACTACATAGAAATTAAAGTTTTCTCTATATTTAAAAAATTAATAAAGCCAAAAGATACAAAAATACTGTAAAAAGTGAACATGACAAATATGGTAGACAAAGGGCTTATTTCTTTAATACATATTTTTTTTAATTCTTAATTTCAAGATCCATAAAAACATGAAAATTTAATAGCAGAATGGACAAAGGACTCAGAGTGGCTGTCCTTAGGGGGGAAAATGCTAATCAAATAAACCTATGAGAAGACACTCAACCTCACTCATAATTTTTTTAAAATGCAAAATGAGATAAATCAATACAAATTTCTATAAGCATAAAATAATCAAAGATGAAAACTTGATAGTATTAAGCATTAAAATTTCTATGTGCATATATAGGCAAAGATGAAAAATGATATTGTTAAAGAAGGGTTACTAAAAGGAGAGTAAATTAATATACTTTTTCAAAAGGCAGTTTGGCATTATTTATCTAAATATAAATATAAATTTCCACTGATCTAGCAGTTGTACTCTAGCCATTTAAGCAACAGATACACAAACATAAATGTTCAAAGATGTATGTGTAAGCTGGGTTTATATTCAACCAGTAGACAGGGTATAGCTATGGTGGTTGTTAAAACACAGAAACCCTTTTGTAAATGATTGCTACACTGAGCTCCCTGAGTTCCTCATCCAATACTTTAGCTACCTCAGGGAGCCACAAGACTCCCTCCAGCACTGAAGTAGGGATCCTTTTTTTTTTTCGTCAGTGCCCATGACATAGGGATTATTAAATATTCTCAGTATCACCTCTGTGAGTGGAATGTTCACTGCAATTAAAAAAAAAAATCTAAATACGCCCTGGCCAGTTTGGCTCAGCGGTTAGAGCATCGGCCTGCGGTCCGGAGAGACCCGGGTTCGGTTCCCGCTAAGGACACGTACTTCGGTTACAGTTTGTCCTCGGCCCTGGTTGGTCGTGCTGGTGGCAGCCGCTCGATGTGTCCCTTCACGTCGATGTCTCTCTCTCTCTCTCCCTTCCTCTCTCTCCCTCCCACTCTATCTGTACAAAAGATGGAAAAATATCCTCGGGTGAGGATTAAAAAAAAAAAAAAAAAATCTAAATACCTATTAATTAGAAGACCAATGATGTAATTTGTAATATGACAATATTATGAACTATTATGACAAAGTTTAAATAATAATGAGGTAAACTTATATGTAATTATGTGGAGAAATATCCACAATATATTGTTAAATTTTAAAGCCATGTTGTAGAACAAACATTACATATGTTGTGATTCTGTTTATACATTTTAAAAGGTTCTATAATAAGAGATAATTATAATATACATAGAAAATGTCAGGAAGGATGTACGCCAAAGAGTGAACTAGATAGTAGGAGTCTGTGGAGGGAACAGGAGACATCTACTTTTTACTTCTATGCTATTTGTTATTTTTTTCTCTTCCTTTTAAAAATTATCTGTATTCTTTATAAAATAAAAACATATTTTAATTGATGTGGAAGTATTTGCCAGATTGCTGATATTTTGAAATTTGGCTCAATGGACCCCTTTGCAGTCTAGTGAAGCCTATGAAACATTTCTCACAATAATATTTTTAGAAGCCTAAAGTGAAATACATAGTAGTGCAAAGCAAACCAATCATATTGGAATAAACTTATCAAAATATTTTAAAAATTTGTGATATGGTAATTGAAGTGTTTTGTTTATTGACACGTTTAATAACAATATTCTGAAACAGGTCTGATAACTAAAGGTAATTTCAAAGAAATAGTAAGCATAACTGATAGTTTAAGATATCTGCAACAATTATAATGAGCTATGAAAATATATATGACTTCTAGTCATGACACAGTTCCAGATACTACAAACACTACTGTGGTTTGTCATTTACATCCATAATTGGAGGAAATGCTAAATTTTTGTTGGCTGTTAATAAAAGTAAAGATATAATGTTTCCCATCCAAGTATACAGATCTTCTGAATTCTATCCATGGACCACTTAGGAGAACATGAATTTAAGGAAACTCTGCCTATTGTATTTGTTTAATAATATTAGTCCCTCATTTGAAAAAAGTTCCAGGTCATTCAGTGTAACTATAATGGTCCCCTTATAAAGAGAACATAGTTCTCTAAAATGGTTCCCAGATCACTGTCTCTTTAAATGGGGCCTTAATGTAATAGTATATGTGGGGTTAGCTCAGCTTTTCAAAGTACAGAGCATCTACAACATTTTATTTCTCTTTTATCTCTCTACTTTCCTATTCCCTTTATCCTCTATCTGGACATGGGTTTTTCATTACAAATAGGCTAAAAAATTCTAAGCTTTCATGCTAGCATTTCCCTTTAAGCTGCTCTGCTTCTAGTCTTTTTCACATTTTTAGATTGTCTTCTAGCTTGTTTTAATTCCAGCTCTTGATCTTGGTTTCAATGGTGGTTATAATTAACTCCTTATAAATCAAGATGTTAACCCTTACCCACTATAGGGCATGCAATTTGAGATAGTATTTCAGTAATAGGGTGGATTTGCATTGATCCATTCACACTACAACAGGGTCCCCACTGTGACTAATGATACAAAGGGTCAAGGTGACTGGGATTAGTGGTTATAGCATCAGTGGTTATAGAATAGATCAAATTTAACGATCTTACATAGGAACCTTGGCTCAACCCAAGGTTAACATAATGCTTTCTTATCTAAGACTTTAAAAAATATTGCTGTCAAAAAATACTCTTTCTGAAATTATACCAAATTTTGTTAGTTTTGGAACTGAGTTTGAATGGTTAGTGTGTGTGTCTGTGTACATACATGTGTGTGATATTACAAAGTAGCTATGACTGATCAAGGTGAAGGATATAGAGATATATTGTGGTTTCAGAAAATACATATTCTAAAGTTAAAGAGATTGGGAAACAGAAAATAGTTATATGTAGTATAGCTGAGTCATAGTAGTAGTGAAACATTAGCATGTAGTGTAGCTGGGTTCCAAAGATAGTGAAGCTCTTCGTAATGATCCAAAATATCTGGCTGATAAGATCTTCAATGATCTCATCCATACAGAGACTTGGTTGTATAGCTTTTTGTATATTATAAGATTTATCATTATAATTTAGCACTCTCTTTATAAAAATATTTT